CATTTTTCAGTTTTTCACAAAGCGGGCATTTACCAAAAAACGACCGGACTTCATGCAAAAAACCGGGGATCGCGAAGACACTGAGGATGTGGGCGATCAGCGGTATAACCGATTAGATGATCCCTATTCTTGCTGTAACAGCTTCGCCGTTTACAGTAATTGTGGCTGCCCCCGTCAAAACGGCGCACAGCTCTACAGGCATCTTCTCGCCAAACCGGCAGCACGGCTTCGGCTCTGCACAAATAGCTGGGGCGTGAAGGGCGCTGCTTGAGGTCGAAGATCTCAGAGACCCCACTTTTCCTCATCATGTGTTCACTGACTGTGATAGAATTCGCGCCTTTTATCTTTGCTCACACAGCAGAAAACCGCCCGTTGCTACCTGTCGTGAACGATGGCACTAATAATTCTTCCGGCTCGTGGCAGCAATAAATTCTTTGTCTTGGACAGCAGCAAATTCTTCCAGTTCGTGGATGATTGATGTTCCTGGCCACGTTAGCTCTTCCGCTCCAATGAATTTATACTAAATAAATGCAGTTCTATGCCGACAGAGTGACCTGTAGTAGTAATAGCCCAAGTCCCTCAACTGGGAGCAATACGTCGGCCGTCCTTTGATTGTATGGCGAGCGTTGCTTGTCGGCTCCATCTTCAGCCCAATTTTGGCAAGCGTAATCCATCGCTTCATCGATTCTTTGAGCTCAGTTTCCTTCCCATCGCTTCCTACTACACGGTCTGCGTGTTAATTCGCAAACCGTGCAGCTGCCGCGGCGAGCCCAGGCCGGCCGAGGTGGAGCCGAGACGGCCCAGGTGAGCTGAGCCGCCCATACATTATACACAGTCAAATTATAATACAAATTGAGTTGGAGATTAATTGGTGTGGTCGTCATCGTCGAATGTTGATACCGAATGATGTCGATCCCGTCGTCGTCGATCCTCGTTGTTGCTCCTCGCCGCCGTTCATCCTCATCGCTTCTCGCAGAATGAGACGGCAGGCCGAAGGGATTCGGACAATCGCCAGCCCATTCGTACCAGCCGGAAGTCCTATCCCTTACCGGGCATGGGCATCATAGTGAAAGTCCTAAGCTCATCGAGGAATATGAGCAGCCACTCCCAGTTGACTCATATTCCTGGCACCATACAAATAAAAAGATGAAAGTACACATACGCTTGCATTTTACATACAAGATGCATATACGTTTGAATTTGAATGAAACTGCAGTAAATGTTTTTGATGGGTGGTTGTGAGGATTACGGTGTCGTTGTGGCTAGGCAAAAAGAAGGAACAGTTCGGCCTTTATCATGCAATGTAATTTAAAGAAAGAAAAGATAACATCAATGCTTACACAATTAAAAAAAACCCGGCCAGGATCTCTGAAGTTGACAGACTTTGAGTCGCTTGGGGAACCATGCATTAGA